GAGCGTCTAAAAAGATTGATGAATTGTTGTCAGATTTATTTCGGCACCTCCCCCCCCGGATGTCTAGAGTCTCACACCTGTATTCAAATCTATCCTGGCTTGTTCCCTCCTTCAGAATGTATTTCCTAGGCTCCTTCCTTTACGAATCCATAAATACTCGTCGACCTCACTATATTTTTAAGCTACTTCAGTTAAAATTCTCTATCCATTCTCTTAACACCCGTTCGTTTCCCAATGACCAGTATCTTCCTCGTCATAAAACCTCCACATTTGAGAAGTCCTTCCTAGCTCAAGCCACAAATCTCTGGAATTCTCTTCCTATGCCAATCAGCAAAGCTGCCTCGCTTACCTCGTTTAAACCCTCCTGTCCCAACATCTCATCTTCCTCCAAACAGAGGCAACAGAATTCACCATTCACTAGTTTTCGTGGTCCTCTTGAAAATGGCAAAAAGGAGGGAAAATTCAAAAAGGTAGGGTTGCGATGGGAAGTTAGTGTCCGAGTGGATCGAAGTCACGATAGATCAAGTGGTAGAGCAGCGACGTATTTAGCTGAAGGTCGTGGGTTCGAATCCCGCTCGTGACACTGACTTTTTTATCTCAATTAAAAACTTTAATTAATTGAAAGAATTCACAATGTTATTAGGTGCTTTTGCTACATTAGAAAACGTGTTACCTTCCTTTTCTCAACTTTTAAGTTTACAGTATGTGATTATGTTTGCCAAAGACAGCGAATTCTTTTCTATTACTATTTTTCCGTAAATTCTTATTATTTCTACTATTATTTCTATTTGTTATATTTTTTATTATGAGATTCAGTTCAACTTATTATACTTGTTAATGCCAAACCTTCATTAATTCAAGTACCAGATTTGTAAAAAAAATTGTTGTGACTTTTTGTTATTCTTAGGGGACTTTAGTAACAGAAGAAAATCTTTCTCCCCCTCTCTCTTTCGCAAAATTAAAATTGATGGTTTTTTATGATAATACTACGTAGGATTATTCCATTTTCCTCAATTCAATAAATATTTGGCTAACTAATTACTTTATTATAGACAACGAATTAATTACTGCATATTTAAACAATGGTTTTTAACTATTATACTTATTTATTTTACAACTACGGTGTTTCACCTAAATCGAGTAATTTTTCATTTTCAACTACTTATACTTTTGTCTATTCTTTGTGAGCTCTGCTACTGGTTTTCCTTCAAGATTTTATTTTATTTTTTTTAATGAAATACAGAATTTATCCCAAGTTTTATCGAGGTCTTTTTTGCTTAGGATTACCTTCCTTATATACCATAGCCTCTTGCTAACTATTGTTAAGCAGTTGAATAGGATATTATAACTGTTTTATCTGTCTCCTCTAAACATTGGCCATCGGTTTTTATTTTTTATATATTTAGTTCGTTTCTGTTGACTACGACTGTTCCTCCCATTGGGTTGTTTTTGCGATCCCAGTATTCGTTGTGATCTTAAGTAACCCAAGATTCAAGTTCTTTCTAATGTGTCTCTTCTTTAGGCCCCAATTGGAATTTTGCTCTATGCTCAGAGACTCCTGGTTTATCTAGGGCGTCTACTGGCAGGTTACGAAATTACCTCATAATCAAGGACCCACCTTAAAGCTTTTAGGGTATTCTGGCCGTCCCAGACATGTTTTGAGTTGATCTGATTTTGCTGCCTATCTATCAGTATTTTTATAGTCTTGCATTCTTGACATGTTATTTTTTTGTTTCTATGACTAGCAATTCGGGTTGATGGTTGTGGTTGAACCCGAGGGCAATGTGCTCATTGTTAGTCCATTCTAAGCACATTATGCCATTACGCACCATATCCCATCTTTGAGCAGTCTACGTACTATAGAAGAGCTCCAGGTTTTTCTTTTCTATCCAGTTTTGTTCTCTAGCAGCCAAACATCTAGGTTCTTTATTAATGTGGCTAAAATATGTGTCACAAAATCAATTTGGGCCTATGTGCTGTTGAGAGGTTTCCATTTTAATTAAAATTCCTGCATTGTTGCTTGAAACATACTCATGTCTTGGGACCCACCAAGAAATTTGTAGATCCCAGAATGTATTTAGGCATTTATTTTATGTGCACATGTTTTTATAGTAAGCAGTTAGGCTGAAAGATTATTTTGGTAGAGCCGAAAGCCATGTGGAGTTTGTATTTCATGACTAGTAGGACATGACTTCAGGACACGTCGGACCCAGGTTTTTAGTTTGGCTTGAATGATGATTCTGGAGGAGGAAATTAAGGTGACAACTAATAAGATACTTGGCAACAACTGAAATCTTGGAAACATAACAGAAAAAATAATAAAAATTTTGAAACATGTCAAAAAAGATGAGGTCCGGTGTGACGTAGGTTTTAGAAAAAAGTTTTCTTTATCGTGCCAACGTTTCGATCTTTATTGAGATCATCTTCAGGGCCTGGGATTTACACACATTGTTTAAATTTAACAAATACATGTAGGATGTGGAAAAAAGTGAATTTATACAATGCTAGAAGTTTTAGACTCAATCAAAGTATTTGTACTCACTCAAAGTGTCTGTTTTCTGTGTGTCATTATTGGATGTCGTGTTCAGAGTACCAGTGAGATATTGATGTTTTATGTTTATATATGTTGAATTTTGAGGGGTGGGGAAGGTCGTTGGAACAGAAAACATTTTTCTATGAGGAGTCGGCTTCTTTGAGGTAAAAGGAACCGACAATGGGAAAGAATGGGTAATGGTTCGGCCTGATTATCCTTTCAGGATTATACAGAAGGGAATAATTAGGGAAAGGAAAGCTAAATTGTTGAAGAATTAGACTATGTAGAAATGTTTGATGTGTGAAATGTGATGATTGTTTTATATGTTGTATTGTATGTGTGGAATGTAATGTGATGATATATGTATGTTATCGATGAATTTGATTAATGATATTAGCGTAGCTGCGACTGAGTTTACACGTGTCCGTTCTGTTATTGATGAGGTGTTTATCTCTGTTGATGTAAACCATTTCTAAAAAGTTACATTTATGTTTGTTTTGTTCTGTGTGTTATATTTTTGGACTGTTGAGTAGAAATTGTCTTGGTGTTCAAAATGGTCGGTAGCCAGTTATGTAGGATTTTGTTTGGGTTTTTTGCAATCATAGATATGTTGCTTTACTCTCTTATCCAGATATTGGGATGCCGGACAGTTTAAACAATTGATTTTGTAAATTACGTCAGACTTATTTGTTACTCGTGTGGGATCTTAAATTTTGAAAAAAGTGTGTGAATTGTTTTATAGTTTTTAAAATGTTAAAATGTTTATAAATCCCAGGCCCTGAAGATGATCTTAATAAAGATCGAAACGTTGGCCCGATAAAGAAAATGTTTTTCTAAAACCTACGTCACACCAGACCGCATCTCACGATCTCCAAATAATCATTAACTAACGGTCACCAAACACCACACATTTATTTAAATGTGGTAAAGCCTAAAAAACTCGAAAAAATAAACCAGCATAAATCCTTAAAAAAACTGGACAAAAAAAGTGGCCTCGCAGGTGAAACATGTTTTTATAAATATAAATTAAATTAGAATTTTAATTTTCTGTAATTTATTGTATTATTTAATCCATTATATTTCGTGGTCCGATTGACCAAATAACTTCTTTCAATTAACTAATCCTTATGTAAGGTATTGGTTAATAAAAAATATAAAAATTATAAATAATAATAGAAATAATAAGAATTTACGGAAAAATAGTAATAGAAAAGAATTCGCTGTCTTTGGCGAACATAATCACATACTGTAAACTTAAAAGTTGAGAAAAGGAAGGTAACACGTTTTCTAATGTAGCAAAAGCACCTAATAACATTGTGAATTCTTTCAATTAATTAAAGTTTTTAGTTGAGATAAAAAAAGTCAGTGTCACGAGCGGGATTTGAACCCACGACCTTCGGCTAAATACGCCGCTGCTCTAACCACTTGAGCTATCGTGATTTCGGTCCACTCGGACATCAATTCCCCATCGAATCCCGCTCGTGACATTAACTTTTTCATTTCAAACAATACCTTCAGTTTAATTAATTGAAAGAAGATATTATATAATATTTTATAAAAACTGAAGGGGGCACTTGGTGACAGTGTTGAACCTTTCTACAAATAAAATAACCCCTGCAGAAATGTATTCCAAAAATTAATCTCATTACATTAACAAAGAATCAGCAATAAAAAGAGAAAATGAATAATATTATTATTATAGTATTATAGTATTAGTCACATACCTTCTTGTGGTGTGGACAGAGATTTGTCGGGCAAATTGTTTTAAACTAAAAAAAACTAATAGTTAAATTGTAAAAAAAATCGTACTAATTTTGCTAGGATTTTATTGTATAATTCATACAATGCAATTCAATTTCAAGTTCAGAGTTGACTGATGACTTTATCATGTACCATGAGTTAATTATAATCGAATACCCCTATATTCCAGTTTTGTATTCATTCTATTACCTTTGGTCTACTTTTTTAGCTTAAGATTTAGTGCGTATAGGTCAGGTGATTATATTTTATAATGGGGGGGGGGGTTAGGATTTTAAGATAAGAGAAGATGAGAGAGGTTTGGCTAGAATTGAGCTTTAATACACTCCCATTGAAGATAGCGTTAATTAGCGTCGAGAATAGGGCGGGCAAGGGATGATCAATCCTCAGCCACTGTCGACTGTTCATCGACTCTGGCACCATTTTGCAAAACAATTGTCCGAATGCCTTCTCAGGTGAGAGGAAGATGTTCTCACAACATAAAAATCAAACACCATGAAGTCATCCAACGCCGTTTGATCCCCCCCCCCAAATATGGCGAGAATAGAAAACCTAAGGAAGAATAAGCGACGGGATATAATTGTTGATAGGGTATTGTAAGAAATGAGAGGTGGGTAGGTTTTATCAATAAGGGCGCCCTCGCGAAGGGTTGGCCGCTCCGGGACCGATGAGGGTGGGATTCGGGGGTGGGGTTGAATGGTGGAACCGGATGCCAGATTCAGTTGGGATGATGCTTCAGCCTGGTCTGGTTGGGAGCGGAAACTCCTACTCACCACTTTCTCACGTCTTGACCAATCACAACAAATCGTTCACCATTGACGCTATACTAGGAATAAGACATCACAACCAATCCGCAATTGACTATTCAACAAACAATTCAGGTGAATTTCAGTTTTCAATGGATTTCACAGTCAAGCTGTTAGTTTATTTCCGTTTCTAACCCACTTTCGATTTCAATCCGACGAGAGATAAACACTAATCTACCTGGTATATAAACTTGCAAGAGTTTATATATATATTTGTACACTTATCGCACCACGTGGATAGACTGGTTTGAGTCAATTTTTCAAAAGTCAAACCTTCTATAAACAGTGTTAAAAAAATAGTATTTAGACGTAATAATAATAAACCGTTTTACTATTAAAAAAATAAAATTTCTTCTTTGTTTCTTCACTTAACCATATGTTTTACCTAGTGAGACCATATGCATATAACATCTCTCTCTTTCTTTACCTTCACAGTCCTTATTGATATTTATTATTTATTTAAATATATATCATCTCGAATAATATGTTTTTAATCTTCGTTTTAATTTTACTGTTTTCTCATTCTTTATCTCGATGGAAAATTTGGATAATAGGAATCTGGACATTTACAAAACCTTCGATTTCATAAATTTAAGTTGATGGATATTCGCTTGGATCTGAATTTTATTCAATCTTACATGGTCACTCACAAATAATTAAAATATAACACTAAGCTCAGAAGTCCTTTTAAATGGAAGAATTGCGCAGGGAACAGTTTTAGGACAAGTTTTGTTTTCAATATACATAAATGATCTGCTTCAAATTGACATCAATGGATTTTTCTGATGTTCTAAAAATAACTTAGATAATATAATGTCAATCTTAAACATTGAAATTCCTATAATACAAAATTTTATTCTTCTAAAAATACAAAAAACAAGATTTGATAAAAATTTACCTGACCAATTTTAAAATTTGTGCCAATGAACTCCCCGATATTAGTATTTATTCTTGTTTAAAATATAGTAAAAACTAGTTATTTATGTTTTTTATTACGCCTTTTGTAATGTGTGTCAAGTATTTTCGTGTGTGATTTGTTTGCAATCTTAGATTTAATTGAAAAAAAATCGAAAGCTATTTTGTAATTTAAAACTTTAAAGAATATTTTAAAACCAGATGCTATAAAGACCGTGTATTACGCTATTTATGAGTTTATAAAGTATAGGTACTATACTAGGTACTGTAGAGAATGAACTGAGAAAATTACAGATAACTAAAAAATGTACTTTTCCACATATTATCAAAAATAGAAAATATATCATGAAAAATTATCGAAAACTATTTTATAAATTTTAAACTTTGAAGTGTATTTTAAAACCAGATATTGTAAAGACCGAATATTATGCTATATAAGGGATTATTACATATGGAGGTACTGTAGAGAATGAATTAAGGATAACTAAAAAATGTACTCATGAAAAAATTATCAAAAATAGAAAATTTATCATGAAAAAAATCGAAAACTATTTTATAAATTTAAAACTTTGAATTGTATTTTAAAACCAGACGTTATAAAGACCATGTATGCTATAAATTTAATTACTTTCAATCGTATGATAGGAATAATTAAACGTTAAACTTCACTTACAAAATGTTAATTATTCCAAATTATTTTTATCTATATTTATTTAGAAATCGTGAGATGCGGTCTGGTGTAATGTAGGTTTCAGAAAAACATTTTCTTTATCGTGCCAACGTTTCGATCTTTATTGAGATCATCTTCAGGGCTCTAAGTGTTTGTTTTCTGAGTGGATGTGTCATTATTGTGTGTCGTGTTGAGAGTGCCCACGACACAATTACACAGAAGACAAACACTTTGAGCCCTGAAGATGATCTCAATAAAGATCGAAACGTTGGCACGATAAAGAAAATGTTTTGCTGAAACCTACATCACACCAGACCGCATCTCACGATTTCTAAATAAATATCGATTAACGGTCACTAATCACCACACATTATTTTTTTTTGTACAAAATTTTTTGTACAATTCCAATATAAATTTAAACACGTTTTTCACCGTATCCTCACTTAAATACATTTAACGTCAAAATTAGTATTAGTGTATCATTTTTTATTAGTTTTCTCGCCAAATTTGTTGTTAACCATAAAATAATTAATCTTATCAACATAACCAAGAATCTTTATGTAAGGTATGGGTTGAGATAAAAAAGTCAGTGTCACGAGCGGGATTCGAACCCACGACCTTCGGCTAAATACGCCGCTGCTCTACCACTTGAGCTACGTGTCACGTGTACGTAAAGATTAATTAATTAATTGAAAGATGTTATTTGGTCAATCGGACCACGAAATCTAATGAATTTAATAACCAAAAATTTTGAATAACCTTTTTGTTTTTAATTTCTTTTGTTATTTATTTTTATTTTAGATTAGATAAATGTATGTATGTATTAGTTCATATTTTCATTTCTTATTTTCTTATATTCAGTTCATCCTAGGAGTACTTAATTACTATTTAGTCTCAGTGTTAGACTCGTACTATTATAAACAAAAATGTTTATAAACTTCATCTTTGTTTCTTCACTTATCCAAAAGTTTTTCTCTTTATGGGACACCTTCGTTTACAGAACGGTTACAGATGGAAGGGGACCAGTACAGAAAGCTTCTGAGTGGACAGGACAGATCAGTTTTTCTGATTTTTCTTAGGTAAACGGCATTCATCCCTTCGAAGGTTCTCTTTAAAAGAGCTTGTATTTTGACGAAAAGTAAGAACAACTGATAATCGAAACTTAGCCCCTCGGAGGGAAAATTTTAAAAGGACGTAAATTCATTGAAAATGTGCATTATAAATAAATCTAACACTTCACGTGTATTATCAGATGACAAAATTCCCTCTTTAAAGGACACTTCCCAAAAGAGGGTAGCCAAGTGAGAAATAACTGTCCGTTAGCAAGAGGTTTAACTGTGTTTATGAATATTAATTCGATTAACTCGATTTAGTGATTCTAGTTTGATGTTTAGCCTATTAAAATTTCTTACAGTTTATCACATGAGGTCGGACACAATTTGATGCTTCTCGAGTTATTAGATGTGATAAACATTCCCAAAATTCCTTGTCAGGTCGACAACATTCTAAAGAAACAATACACTTTGTAACCACACATAAAAATAAAATCATTTGAATGTTTAACGATTTTACCGGTTTATGCCACTTATGCACCAATAAACAGGCGAAAAATAGACTAGGGATTTCTGCTCTCTCGGCAGATCGTGCAAAATATAAAATCCTCTCTACGAACTAAAAAATTTTTCATTTATTCACATGCTAAAAAATATGTGAAAGATTGAATTGAAGAAGCAATAGATTTTTCACTGAGTTACTGTGATTTTGAGGGGTGGTCGGGTGGTAGGGCGTCCGACTCGTATTTGCCACGCTAGCGGTCCTGGGTTCGAATTCCCGGCACAGCTCATGGTTTCCTAATTGAGAATAGTACGAAAAAGTATTGTAAAGTGGTTTGACCTCTCGTCCTAAATAACAAGAATTATTATTTACTTACTTTTATACCTAATGTTCGGACTGATTTATAAATTATCACTTTATCGCGGAGGTTGTTGTAATGGTTGATTTGTTCATATGAGCGTAGATATTTAGACTTAATTTGTTTAAAAGTATTTAGGCTTTTAATATTTACATTATGGATATTTGTTTTATGTTTCATAAAAATATTTTACATTTGGTGCAATTAATGAATTTTGATTGGGAGAAGGTACAGAGAGAAATTTGTTTGTAGTTATTAATCCATTTACGTTTTAGTGGTAAATTGACCAAATAACTTCTTTCAAGTAAATATTCTTTCTGTGTAAGGTCTTGGTCAAGATAAAAAAGTATGACGAGTGGGATTCGAACCCACGACCTTCGGCTAAATACTCTACCACATGAGCTATCGTGACTTCGATCCTCTCGGACACCAACTCTACTTCTCAACCTACAACCATTCAAATTTTTCACTCTTTTTGCCATTTTCGAATGTCGTGTAATCAGGATTGGGAATCGATATACGAGGTGGCCACGGAGAGGTGTTTATTGAAGTAATACTTCTTTTACTTATTAAGTATTAATCCATAGTTTGAGTGGTAAACTGACCAAGTTACTTCTTTCGATTAATTATTCTTTCTATGTAAGGTTTTGGTCGAGATAAAAAGTCACGGTGGTAGAGTAGCGGCGTATGAGCCGAAGGGTTCGGATCCCGCTCGTGACACTGCCTTTTTTATCTCGACCAAGACCTTACATAGAAAGAATAATTAATTTGTAGTTATTGTCAAATAATTGCAAGAGTAATAAGAAAATTACTCTTATGAATTTCACAATGGACTTTTATTAAATTTTTAAAATCCAATATATTTTTTTATTCTGCTTCTAAGTGCAACCAATTTTTAAAATTTAGCAATTTAATTAAAATCTGTGGCCTGTTCTTGCGAATTAGAGTAAACAAGTTTTGTTATACAATTATAAAATCCTTCTAAATAATCTAATTGTTTAAACAACTCCTTTCAACTAAATGTTTTTTTTAAATTTTATTAAAAATTTGCACAGCGAACTAAACCTACGGCAAAATACCTCGACATTACAAATCCCGAATATGTTGAAAGCTTAGATACTTGTCGAACCGTTTTGATGGATGAACCTATATTAAAAATTCTAAAATACCACAATTTCGAAAAAAACTTTTAGACTAACGACAAATTCTCAATATCGCCACTGGGGAATCATTCGGAGCATTGAATACATTCGCCCTCATCTTTCGGCTGGAAATTTACAATCTTTTCTGATCATAAACCATTGCAATGTTGTTTTGATTAAAGAAGCCCGATTCAAAACTTACTAGATGACTTTTCTCTCTGAAAGAATGAACGATTATGAAATTATTAAAAAAAGGTAAATAGAACCAAATTGATCAAAGGAAAAATCAAAATCCCCAACCCCAGGATTGATTTAGAAGAAATTGACCCAATTTTAGAGGAATTTTATTGAAAATTTTTAGAAATAAGAGAAGAAAACCTTGTAAATTCTATTTTAGATTTACCAGAAGGAGAAATTTTAAAACGTTCTGAAACCA